ATTTTCCTCGAATGAGTTTCAAATGTCCCCTTAAGACACGGCAAAACGATGCTCTTGTAAGGAGGAAATCTGTTTCAGTGTGTCTAGATAATCGAAGGACAAATTTGCTGACTTATTCAGGTTTGCCCAGACCAAAAATATTGAAATTTCCTGACTTGACTAAATCTATACATGCTCTTAAGCATATTTAAATCCTTTCCTAAAAATTTGGTGCTCGAAGATTAAAATAAAACGTTTTAAAACATTTTTTTTCCTTCTTGGTGCGCTATTGGGGTACACTTTTCTTCATGGAAAAAGCGGGAAATTGCGGAACTAACTTGGGAGGAGCGTCACTGCGGCTCGGAGACTTTTATATTTCATTCCGGCAAATATATAAATGTGAAATACGTGCTCGCAATGACAACTCAAATGCTGTTCCCACTTGGCGTGTTGCGTCCTCGCGCTCCCAGCAGCCTCGTCAAACGTCTCAATATTTTCTCGTCCCCTTAATCGCTCCCGAAGCTCGCTCCTCGCGTCCCTTTCCTCCCCTCCACACGCACTCAAGACTCCAGATTTTCCAGCCTCTGAAGCAGAGATGTAAAATTTCAACAGATCGTCACCTGCTTCCAGGCAAAGTATCACAAGCGCCATGCGACGTTTAAAAATTTCCGCCGCCATTTTATTTCTTTACTGAGAAATTCTTGGTTGAATCTGGTTGGAAATTTCACTAAATTTTATCGGCAGCACAAAGAAAATTCAGTGAAATTTTCGGACAGCTTCGTTGAACAATTTCTCTGTAAAAAAATAAAATGGCGGCGGAAATTTTTAAACGTCGCATGGCGCTTGTGATACTTTACCTGGAAGGTGACGAGATATGACCCCATCTAAATCTTCCCAAATAACACATCGTAGCCCGGATTTTTTGAAAAAATTTGAATTTTAATCTCTCAGGATGCTGAGAATTCACGCAAATGATGAGGAACAAATTTTGAGCAATTTTTGAAAACAACTTACCAAATTTGAGAACGATTGATCGTAAAGAGGTTGTTCCAAAAACGCCGATTTTGGCCCCCCCCTGGATTTGGCCCAAACTTTGCTCAGATGTTGTACTAAGTGTCCCCGATGCTTGGGCAAAATTTCAGCCCCCTCGGATAATTAGGGGGGAGGGGGCAGGGGGGCAAAGTTGCAATTTTTTCAAAACTTTAAAAATCGATATCTCGCGAACGGTTTGAGTGTAAGTGTTGCGGTTTGCGCTAAAAAACGTTAAAAAATATTCTCTACACGAATATTGATGCTGTTTGCATGGTTGCGTAATTTATCGTAGTCATAAATCGATTTTTTCGATTTTGAAGGTTCGACTTTTTTTCGTTTTTCGTCTCTCCTCTCCAGGCGATCGTTGCTATGTGAATAAAAACCAGTTGAGGTGATTCTCCATGAAATTCTGCATCTACCACACTTTGTTTGACCTTGGGGAAACGATTCATTCTTGAGTTATAGCGATTTTTCTGCGCGTTCCCGGTTACGCGCGGGCGGCATATCGGCGGCGCTTCATCCCCCCCGGGCGAGGCAGAGGTTGTTTCACTGCTAGGGCCTTATATTAATGCTGTAGGCTGTAATTATTGATATTTTCTCCTTCTCCCACCCTTCCCCTCCTATAAATATGTTTTTTATACTTCGTTATACAGGGTGTCCCCGACCACCCGTACCAGGTCTTTTTCTCGGTTGGTTTAGGTAGTACGAAGTGGGGGACCGCGGGGTTAAACAGGGAATTGACCCCAAGGTATCCGAATTTCATGGTCCCGAAGCCCCCCTACCCTCCCTTGGGGGGTGAAAGAGGGAGGCACAATGTCTCCCAACTTTAGGGATCGTGACCCCCTCTTTACCCCCCAAGGGAGGGAAGGGGGGCTTCGGGACAATGAAATTCCGATACCTTGGGGTCAATTCCCTGTTTAACCCCGCGGTCCCCCACTTCGTACTACCTAAACCAACCGAGAAAAAGACCTGGTACGGGTGGTCGGGGACACCCTGTATAACGAAGTATAAAAAACATATTTATAGGAGGGGAAGGGTGGGAGAAGGAAAAAATATCAATAATTACAGCCTACAGCATTAATATAAGGCCCTAGCAGTGAAACAACCTCTGCCTCGCCCGGGGGGGATGAAGCGCCGCCGATATGCCGCCCGCGCGTAACCGGGAACGCGCAGAAAAATCGCTATAACTCAAGAATGAATCGTTTCCCCAAGGTCAAACAAAGTGTGGTAGATGCAGAATTTCATGGAGAATCACCTCAACTGGTTTTTATTCACATAGCAACGATCGCCTGGAGAGGAGAGACGAAAAACGAAAAAAAGTCGAACCTTCAAAATCGAAAAAATCGATTTATGACTACGATAAATTACGCAACCATGCAAACAGCATCAATATTCGTGTAGAGAATATTTTTTAACGTTTTTTAGCGCAAACCGCAACACTTACACTCAAACCGTTCGCGAGATATCGATTTTTAAAGTTTTGAAAAAATTGCAACTTTGCCCCCCTGCCCCCTCCCCCCTAATTATCCGAGGGGGCTGAAATTTTGCCCAAGCATCGGGGACACTTAGTACAACATCTGAGCAAAGTTTGGGCCAAATCCAGGGGGGGGCCAAAATCGGCGTTTTTGGAACAACCTCTTTGTGACAAACGCAGCTCAAATTTGCCGAGGCTGTTGCTTGGTTAAGAAACGATGCATTTTAAGTAAGTATAGTTACAACATCTATGCTGCCTTGCTGAGGGAAAATGCCGTATGAGCTTTCAGGCGTTGCCAAAATTCCTCTGATAAAATAAAAATTCTTAAGGAAACTGCTGAAAAATTTTCGTCACATTTTTCAGATAATTTTGTACAGAATATACCTAAATTATCTTGAAATTTTAAGAAACAATGTGCATAACCTTCCTCAAAAATATTCGCTCAATCCGAGGAAAGGCAACTTTTGAATGTTCAAACGGCGCTCTTCCTTAGCACGGCAGAATGGTGGTATAGATTATAGCTTAAAACTTTGACTGAATGCTCCTCAGAGTACCTATCAACCTATAGATGCCTTGATTGAACTTTTTTACACGCCAAGTCTCAAGTAGGGTCAAATCGACCTGTATTAAATTACATTGCCTTTGACAGTCTTTGAGTAATTATGCATGTTAATTCTATACTTTCGAAATAAAGAACGATATTTTTTTAAATGTTCACCTTTTTGGTAGCATACTGGCGCTTTTTCATCCCCCCCCCCTCAACCGCCATTTGTAACTTCCTTAAAAGAGAGAGTCGGGTTAATTTGACACGTGGCTTAGAATTTCTACAGGTATTCGCGTAAAAAAAATTCCTTGACACGCTACAACTCTCGCCAAAATACCAATTTTTAGACGTGCAATTTTGAGGGCGCTCGAGAGACCTTTAAACATTTCCCCCCCTTTTCCTCCCTTCAAAATGAATTTATTTGGACACATCATAGCATAATTTGAGCTAACCCTAATTAATCCCACATTAGAGACACTCCAGCACGCGTCGCTTACGGCGCAGAGATACAACTATTCGTGCTTGATGGATGCCCATGTTGCATCAGCAAAGTTGAAGGCGCGATGGCGCAAGGCGTGAACTCGCAATGCTCAACTTCGTGCCTGCAATGAGGCGACGCTTGGATTCGCGAGAAAAGTTAAAATGGAAGGTCCTATTACCTCTCTTCTATCTTTGACTATGTTGCTTACATAGCCCTTGAAGCACAACTAAAAATAAGACAAACAAAAACTAGCACAATATTGTGATAGAGCAAGAGAAAGGACTCGCGTTGATGACGGCGTAGAGATACAACTATTCATGCTTGATGGATGTCCGTTTTGCATCTGCAAAATTGAAGGCGCGATGGCGCGAGGCGTGAACGTGCTCAATGCTGACAATGCTCCGCTCCATGTTGCCAATGAAGAATCTTCAGATTCGGTAAAAAAGTTTAAAAGAACAAGGCCCAATTACATCTTTCCTATCTTTGGCTGTGTTGAGACTCGATTTTTTTCCCCCTTTTCAATTTTATCCGACTGATTCTTTCTTAGGTTTTATTCGTAGACCTGTAGCTAAAGATCTAAATTTAACAAATCCCGGCCCCAAATCTCTCGCAGGAGAAAAAGTTGGGTCACTTTGTCCCGGCTGAGGATTTCTAGGGGCAGTTGTCTAAACAAATTCGCTGTCACTCCATTTTTCCCTTTTTTAAATTCGATGTCTGATTTTTTTTTTTCGATATATATTTTGTAGACTTGTATAAAAAAATCGTATGTAATGGCCTCATACAAACCGCGCAGCACGTGTCTTTAGCAATCCTGGGGTCAATTTGACTCAGTTCGGGCGTCTAAGGGTTTAAAGGAGTCATGAATTCATATCACGGTTACTAATGCAAAGGTTCTTCTCTCCAAGTTTGACTGGGCAGATTTTTTTTTTTTTTTTGAAAAAGAAGAAGAAAAATGGAGAGAAAAAATTGTTTGATTCTTCAGACTCTCTTCGGGTCTAGAACAACAGGGTTTTAGAAAAACCAAAAAATTAAGAATTTTTTTATTGAATATTTTGAAAACATTTCAGCCGAAAGGCGTTTTAGGATGATTTTTCTTTTCTTTAAATGTAATAAGAGAAAACTCTCTTGTCTGTAGTCAGAGAAAAAGATTAGAAAAATAATTGTTTTTAAAAATTCATCCGGTGAATCCTGAAAAAAGTAAGCTTAAGATAAAAAAAGGTTGTAATGAGAAAAACCTTTTCACAGTTTTTGAAACAATGATCCGATTTAGAAAAAAAAAAAAAAAAATGGGAAGAAAAATTGGGAAAAAGAAGGGAATATTCTGTGAGTATAGTGTGCGCTTTATTTCGTACCCCGTTTTGTTGTGAATTCAAAAATCCCGCCTTAAAACCGATAGTGCGAGGACCTGACGCGAGGCTGCAGCACTGCAGTCAGTCACCGTCCGTCTGTCACTGTCACTGCTCAAAACGGCAACAATGTTGTGTCATTTGAGGTTAGGTAGCTGAAATTAAATATTTTGGAGATTTTCGCAATTTGTATGTAATTGTAATTTGTTTGCTCTAACAATAAACACTTGGTTGCGCAGTCCGTGAAGTGCGTTTATTTTCCGACCGCTTTCCTTTGTTATCTTCGACGTGCATCATTCTCTTGTTACATTTTGAACGGGCAAAAGTTCCTCTTTTATGTTCAGTATTATCCTTTAACTTAATGCAATGAGTGCCATCAAAGACAAAGTCAAATCCGAAATTACCGTTCCTCACACTATTCCAATCGATATTTTAGACGATTTAGGGAGGTAAGCATACCACTACTGTGGCCTTTTATCTCGATTTTATTTTTGTCTTTGAGCAATCATAGAGTCCACGCCAAGTAAATTCACGCACCTCTAGACTGCGACAGGAGATCGTCTGATGTCACTTTCACATGTAAAGTAATTGCAAGATGGTGGATTTTCTGTCGCAGTTCAAAAGTGCGCAAACTTATGTGGCGTGGACTCTAACTATGGAGCCGGATAAACCCAGGTAGAATGAACATTTGCCAGAAAACATGAAGAGAGTGGGCATAAAGGGACCTACAATTTTTCCGAGCCTACAGCTGTATGCTGTATTGGGGTGATTCTGACAGTTTTTCATGAGGAGCATTTCAAAAATATCTTAAAACAGTGGGGTTCTCAGCAGCATAACTTTTTGTCAGGTTTGCTGTGGGCCTTCAGGAGAATTCTAAACCATCACTGCGATCCAAGAAAATTTATCGTATTGCGTCTGTTTGATTCGTTTGTTTTGCTCTTGTGTTGAAAAATCATGAACCTTGATTATCTAGAATGTATGTTTACATCAACATAAAATAATGCTCATCATCCTTTTGTTCCAGCCGGTTTATCATAAATGTGCCAATTGAAGAACGGCAAGACTTAATACGACTATGTTTTCAAGTCGAATTGGCACATTGGTTTTTCTTAGACTTCTATTGCACTCAAGAAAACCTTAAGTTGAAAACGTGCGGCATGAAAGAATTCACTATACACATGTTCCAGGTAAGGAGTGACTTTTATCTACTCCGTGCATTTCAAATCAATGAGAGATTACAAACTTGAATTATTATCCACTAAATACGTAGCGAAAACTTCTAAGATTTATTTTATCAAATTTTTTCCCAGTCCACAGTTGTCACTGAGTGACTTGTTTCTTTTCTGCAGAATTGAGTCCTACGTGCAGTGCGAGTAGCATTTTCAATTATCTTTTTCTATCAAGTGAGTTGAAAAAGTGACAGTTCATCATAAAATGACATGCTGAACGTTCTTCTACCATCTCATTTGAGAATGTTGTGAGATTATTGTAAACATTCCTCCTTTGTAGGTGGCTTTGTAGATTAAATTTAATCACTTTTGCAGAGTTTTCTAAAATCTATGATTTTTCCTGAAACCCCAGAGACTGCTACAAACAAAGAACAGGGCTGTATACGATACATGTGAATAGTTTCCAGTTAGTAACCGCTAAGTAACCATAAATTCTGCACTTTCTCCATTTTCAGTTCCCGATAAAATTTCTGTAATAGATCGCCTCACTCAATTGTGCAATATTTTCATGTACCTACTTATCTTCTTTTTTAATTTTTTTGATCGGAGCATTTTAATCTCTTTTTTTCTTTCTTTCTTTCAGCACATACCATTTCTTAAGCAGTATGCCTCAATGGTAAATGAAGTTTTAGAACAATGGCGGGAGTACAAACAATCAGTTCCCACTTTCGGTGCTATTATTTTAAGTGAAAATTACTCTCATGTCCTCTTGGTTCAGAGTTACTGGTCAAAAGCCTCTTGGGGATTTCCAAAGGGGAAAATCAATAAAGATGAAACACCTTTGCATTGTGCTGCGAGAGAGGTATGCTCTTTTCATTTAGTATGTAATTTAGATCATTGTGATGATTTTCACAATCTTTGATGGATTATTTAGAAACCAATCCAATCCTAATGAAGCAAAATTCAAAACCATCCCTCAAGAAGAATAGAAATTGCATGAATCCCCAACTACATATTTTATTGGCATTTCGACGGTTTAAGTCGGCAATCACATAACTCGTTTGCGGTGTTTGAAAATCTCCGCCTCTATGTTATTTTTCTAAAGGAGAACAAATTGACATCATTCTTTGGTGTTTTTGCTGAATTTTCTTTGCACAGAGAAGAAAAATCACGGCAGTTTTAAAGAATTGCTGTTGAGTAGTTTTCCGTTTAAAAAATAGAGTATGATAGGAAGTTTGCGACGTCGCAAACCGAGTTATGTGATTGCCGACTTACACCATCGATTTATGCTATTAAAGCTTGTAGCTTGTCTTCGATTGTCAATTTATTTTTTTCACCTGAAGATCAGTCCTAGCAAACTACTTTTTGAGGTTCTGTTGCTCATTCTCTCAGTTTAAATAATAGAAAATTAAAAGAAATATGACAACGAGAAAAAAGGAAAAGAAAGGTCGAGCGCACACCAAAAACTGAACAAAAATGAACCAACCTCTAACTTAAAATACATATCACAATGTCAAAGAATAAACTGGGTAACAGTCGTTCAGAGTGGATCTCGACCTGTAACTTGACCTTCGCACCATCAAGTTGCAAGTGAGTGACAATAACGCTTGAGATTATGGTAGCACTTATCCGCCATATTAGTCCAGATAGTAGCAGTTTTAATAAACAAAACTCCTGTAATTTTATTTTCTCTACCCTTAGGTTTTGGAAGAAACAGGTTTTGAAATCAGTCATCTCTTGAATGCGAATGAATTCATTGAGACAGTGGCCAATGATCAGCTAACTCGTTTGTATATCGTAAGTGGAGTACGGAGAGACGTTAAGTTTGAGCCGAGAACAAGGAATGAAATCAAAGCAGTTGAATGGTTCCCAATTTCGGATTTGCCAACATCACGAAAAGATATGACTCCGAAAATAAAATGCGGCTATGGTCCAAGCTCTTTCTTCATGGTTCTACCTTTCATGCGGTAAGATTTATCAACTTTTTTATGGCTCTGGAAAATGAAACAAGTTTCAAATACAGGTATGATATCAGTGGCGTGGTGTGAATTGCGATGTACCGATTGTTCTGCCATTTAAACCTATGGTAAAGAATCGATTATTAAGGTGTTCGCTGCAAACACCCTGTTTATCGATCCTTTTCCATAGGTTTAAATGGCATAACAATCGATATATCGTAAAGTACCGTATGATATAGTACTAAAAAGGGTCTGAAAGCAAGCGTTTTCTGCCATCTTAATTTTCTGTTCACCATGTTGGGCATTTAATAACTTCCGAATTGAACTGAGAACGTTGCCTACTAGAATGGAGTGGCCTTGAATAGTCAGTTTTGTGATTTCAAACTAGTAGGTATTTACAAAAAATAACAATCATCTCCTCACCATTGAAGCATTGATGAGTGAGGTAGTTGCTGCGCTGACCAATCAGAGTGGCCCTCGATCGACTGCAGTTGTATGATCCCTGCTTTTGAATCTGAGTGGAGGAACGATTTTGTGTATTGAGTTCTCACTTCCTCAATTATCAGACAATGTCATTTATGGACTAGTCAGTTTGCCGTTGTGAAATTTCATCCTCTTTTGAAAAGGCTCTTATAAATTTTTGCATTAAATCAACCCCTCAGAAGATATCGGTAGGAAATGAACACGCATCACGCATTCTCTCATAAGAACACATGTTAAATCGCGCCTGAGTTTCATCTACAGTTGTGATGTCACAGGAACGTAGTTACAGCCTCTCCATTCTCGTAGGCTACGCTCAGAAGTGAGAAATTGGAGTTTTCCATCTTTGAGTATTCTAACCCTCTCTGCTCTCTTATCATTCTATTATTGTATTCATTAATAAAATCTATATCGCTTATCATTAAGCGAATTTTACTTGATTTGTTATTCAACAAGTTGCTCATTAATCATCATTACTTTGGCAAAAAGGCTGACCCCTGATTTTAACTTTTGCCTCACCTATTTAAATTCCTTAAAATGTCAGCGCAGGGTCCCTAAAATATATATTCTCCACGTAGGGCCAAAAATAAGGAGGAAAAGAATTTTGCTAAGCACCCAAGGCATGTCGACGGCTTAAGTCTGCAATCATGTATCTTGTTTGCGGTGTTTGAAAATCTCCGCCTCTATATTATTTTTTTAAAGGAGGACAAATTGACATCATTCCTTGAAGTTTTTGCAAAATTTTCTTCGCACAGAGAAGAAAAAGAATTTTCTTTACACAGAGAGGATAAAAAATTGTCTTCGCACGGAGAAAAAAATTCACTGCAGTTTTAAAGCATGGCCGTCGGGCAGTTTTCTATTTAAAAAAAAAAAAGTATGACAGGAAGTCTGCAACGTCGCAAACCGAGATACTAGGTTGCAGACTTACACCGTTGACGTAGCCCTGAAGCTATAATAACTGCCGTAATGTAAGGCTATTTAACCCTAGAATATGGGCTTGAACTGTTATTATTTGCATAATCATATATGTCTATAATTTGCAGGAGGCTAAAAGCTTGGATAAAAGACAAAACACAGAAAACTTCACGGAGACCAAGGCATAAATCATTGACTGACGTTGAGATTGAGCCTCAATTTGTGAAAAGTCACTCAGATAAAGCGGCTGCGAGAGCCAAAAGATTTCAACAATCTTTACAGGTAATAACTGGAAAACTCTTCTTTCATCCTATCCACTCATATAGATGCGAAGAGATATTATATTTCAAGTGGTCAGTGACCAATTTTTGCACAGTCCATCTAGATGTGCTTTAACATACCTAGAACAAGACATAACCAATCTTGATTCTTAAGCAATTTTATAATTGGCTGAAGTTGTGAAAGCAAAGTTTCAGCAGCTGATCATAAAGCAGGTTTAAAATGGAGATGTTGCATGTGTGAGGAATTTGCGATTTGAGTGTTGATTCTTGTGTAAAAGTTCGCGAGAAACACGATGGTGCCACTGGTTTTCTCTGAAATCAACTCCCAAGCTCAAAAAAGGTCTCAAGTTGAGGCCAAAATGGAGGGAATATCCCACGCTATCCTGAGAGTTCATCTCTACGTAAGACAAACTCTCCATGCAAAGATATGGAGCCAATACATTAGCAGGGTCGCCGTGTTTTCAGTTTTAGAGTCCCCAAATGGAGTGGCAGCCCTGTCAACATGTTTGCTCCCTATCTTTGCATGGAGAGTTTGTCTTGATGCAGAGGTGGACTCTCAGGATAGCGTGGGATACCCCCTCCATTTTGACCTCAACTTGAGAGCTTTTGTTTTGAGCTTGGGTGTTGATTTCAGAGAAAACCAGTGGCACCATCGTGTTTCTCGAATAAATTTGGGCCTAAACATTGGTAATTTCTCCCAAAAACCACAAGCTGTCAAAGCTCTCAGTTCTTGAAAGAAAATAAGTAAGTAACACAAAATAATAAGAGAAAAGTAATGAGTAAAATAGAACAAGCCAGTAAAAACCAAAAATACAATATGAATAAGCAAGAGGGAAAACGATTTTACAGAATCATCTTAATGTTTGACAAGACCCTATCAGAAAGGGGGAAAAACTCAGTTCTTTTTCGTTTACCAGGAAGACCCTAACCTTTCCTTATTGAATGTTTTGGAGGTATGATGTGTGCATGCAATGAACCCTAGACTTTCCGTTTCAATTTTTCTCAAGTAAAGTAAAGATGGATAATTTTTTTTTTATAATTTCAGATTTCTCCTCATCAACTGAATACTTTATAATATTAATTTCAACAGTTCCATTCAATTAAACATTTTATGACATCAGTCAGAAAAGTCTCATTTAATTTCGTTCTAATACTAATTTTTGTGTGCCTTTTTCAGACTGAAATAGAAACATACAAAGCTCTTCAATCACAAAAAGTTCCTACCAACGGTACCCAGAAAAATGTGAAATCTTTGGATAAAAGCAGGTCTTCCAGACGGCGTCTCTTTCTAGGTTTGTATTTGTATGCTTTCTTTCCCCATCCGTAAAGTGTTTTGGCAACGCTTTCTTTGGGTGTGTTCAACAGGTTTGATAACTCAACTTGGAACTCATTTTTCATGAGTTAGTACCTTTCTAAAAAAATCTGGGATAATCTTTGTTAACCAAGTGCACCACCTACTCTCAAAATGTAGATAAGTTGAAAACTCTGGATCCAGGCTGAACTAAAAAACCATATGTCCTGATGAAACTATTTTTATTTGAATTCAACTATAAAAACATGAGTAAAACTGGCTGATTTTCATTAATTCCCTCTAATTCTTTCATACTTTCACTATTTTTAGGTGAAGAAAATGGGAAAGTTCAAAAAAGCAAGGAGCCTGATCCTGAATTTACAGCTCCGTCATGGGCTTACTTCAAATTTGACCGACAAGCTATCATCAAATGCCTGAACGATTGTCAGCATAATTTCCAATCCAAATTAGCCTTGAATGTTGGGTGAAATTCAATGTGAAGACTTCAAACTCCACCTCAGAAACGAACTTTAAAAGCAAGTATCCTCATCGTACTTCGAACGTTGTTTTAAGTTAAGAATACAGGAAAAAGTTTTATTTGAAAAAGTAGTTGAATGTTGTTTCAGCTCAAGAAAGAATACAGGAATCATTTTTGTTTGAAAAAGTAGCATGGATATCTTTCAATTGAACTAGGAATCAAGTTTGTCATCACGTCTTTTGCATTTTGCAGAGTTCGGGTTTTTTGCCACCTTCCCGAGTAGCCTCAACAAGCCCTTTACTCGGTTTTTTTCAATCCTAATAAATTATGTTAGGATTTATCAGAAATAAATCAGAAGCAAAAGTGAGCCAGTTCCCTTGCCCCAAAATTTGTTGCTCTAGTTTCTAGACTCTAAAGGATTTTCAAAAGCTAGCAGGGCAAAATTTGTCTGTCTCATCTTTTTGAAGAAAAATCTCTCCATTAGTATCCAAGCTTTTTACAGTTTTCCCTCTAAATTTTCATTTTTATTCTTTAATTTTTTTTTTTATAAATGACCTTTTATTGGCAGTTTATGCCAATTTAAGAAGCCTCAAAATAAAAGGAATGGATGACTGTGCTCACAGCTTTTGAAATTAGAATGAGAAAAATAGGAAAGAAATCGGCAGTTTCTTCCGTTTTACAGTTTAGTAACCTCATTAATTTTCAGAATCCCCATTCAATTCCATTTTGGTTCAAACTTTTAACTTTCCTCTACCGATGTACTCGTCAAAATGTGTGTCAGGAATTTTTTGGCCATAACACTCCATTTAATGTTCGGAAACTGTATTTAGATGTCAAGGAACAAGTTAGAAGTATATTTTTTTATCTTCAATGTGTCTTGAACATTGCAATAATTGAATTATGGGTTGGACATTGTTTAGAATCGATTTTCTCAGGGGATTCTCTGACTCAAAGAAAATAGTAGTTTTTATCTGGTTTGATGGAGGGAATACCATGCAATTGTAGAGCAGAAGTTAGTTCAGGTGTCGTTGCGCTATATTGCAAATAACTTCCCAAACACTTTATTCAATCAGGAAGCATTATCTCGGTACATTTGCGAAGGTTTCCATAATTCTTTACTTACCTTCTCAGTTATTCTTAAAGAATCGTGTATCATGGTCGGTTAGAGAGCACAGGTACAATAAACAGTTGGTTTTTCTTGCCAATGTGTGCATACTTTCTTATTATAAATCCAGCTATCTATGTGACTGGTGTGCTCAAAACTTTGATGAATAGATCACTGTGATCGCTGCCTTGCTGGAACTTTAGTAGAGCTACTTGGATAATTACTCATTAAATGGTGGTAACCATGTTTGCTACTGCAACCACTTGCCTAATCCAGTTGAGTTTTCCTAACTAATTCTGAGAGGAAGCAGATTGTCAGAATTTGCAAGCAGAATTTCACAAAAGATAGGGGCTTCTGATGAGTCTTGCTCGATTAAAAATGCCTTTGCAGTCACCCACCCCACTGGTCATAATAAGTGTTGCAAATAAAAAACCTATGGAGGGAAATTATTTGCGAAGCATCATACCCTTCCCAAGTGAGCGAATTTCTTGAATTTTTCCAGTAATATGCGCTCATGGACCAATAAAACCAACTGTCTATATTCTCTGAAAATTTGAAGGATCAATCTCAGTCAATTGGTTGAATGAAGTAAAAACAAGAATTTAAAATTTTAGGATCAAGGTACACATTTTCCAGTCTCTAGTTCCCCCTGATGGACGATTATTTTTAAATATCACTCTTCACTCTAAAATTCTAAAGTTTTAGTCAAGAATTCTGAGATTCCAAATTTTAATTTTAAAATTCTGGAATTTTAAATTTAAAACCAAAATTTTGAAATTCTGAATTTCAATTCAAGAATCGGTGAGAATGATAATTCAAATTATCGATGAGTAGATATTGATTTTCAATGTTTGTAGGCCTAATGTTTGACATCCTGATTAAAAAAATTACACATCTTTCCGCCCAATTCATTTTCCTCCATCAAATTATATGAAATCTTTCTGTATCTGTCCATTTTTCTGCCACTCAGTATTCACTTTAAATTGACAATTTGTATCTATTAACCTGCCTGTTTCATCACAATCTCATAAATTGTTTTATTTTATATTCTGGGGTGTTCACAATCAAGAGTTAAACTCAGAGTTTTACACTTCCACAGATTTTTTTTTATTTGACTCAACAGTTTTATTTTTCCTTTTCTTTTTTTCCCCCCTTTATTGTGCCTCTCTCATATTTGCCTTATCACAGTGCCTGGTCACAGATGGGTTTATCATTTTTAGGGGACTTTTTTTCACATTTCAGTCATTGATTTTGCAATGTGATACATATTTCGATGACTGAATGAGAAAAATGCAGGTCCCAGGTGTAAGGTTTAAAACTCACCAATTATGTTTTATTTCATGCAAGGAAAACTAATCAAAATGGTTCCTTGCTATTTTGTGTTTTTTTTTTTTTTTCAGAATGAGTGAAGAAAAATCACAGAAATTTTTAATAGAACCTCTTGGTTGGTTTTCCTTTTAAAAAATAAAACAAGAGTAGGGACTTAAAATGTGGCAATCAGAGATATGCAGGTTGAGACAGAGAGTTCTTTTACAACAACCTTCAGCAATTTTTAATGACGTTATAGTGAGTTTATCTGTGAAGTGTTAAGTTCTATTTGGTTTTTTCCAATTTATTTTCCACTTGCTTCCAAGTCTGAAAACTTGAAAAGATCCTTGCTGACCTCAGATCTGATGCATTTTCTGTGTATTTGCTTTATTGTCTTCTATATTGAAAGAAACAAATGGATTCTGAAAAATCCCTCTAAATTTACAACAAATTGTTTCGATGTCAATTTTCTCATAATCAGGACATGAGATGTTAGTAATGACTTGCAAATCAGCAAAACAATATGGTTATATGTTGTCACAATTTTCAAGGGAGGCCTTTACGAAGCATCTTCATCTAAGAGTTTTTTACTTTAAATTTTCACCTTTTACAAAAAAAGTCTATCTCAATAACTATCCCTCTCCACAAGTATTGGAGTATATCCGGTTTTTTTTATTGTATGATGGTTTTACAAGTTTAATTTTGTCTTAATATTTATATTTTATGTTTGTTTTCTAAAACAAAACCTAGCTATGAGCTACATGTTTAATTTTGTCTTTTCTTCTATTTTACTTTTCCTGTGTGTTTATCTTTTTGATATGTTGAGAGCTACTTCTCTCTCTTTTCTCTGATTCAATGGCTATCACTGTGTTTTCCATTAATTTTCTTTAATTGTTTAATCGAAATGATTAGGCAGGAAGATATTTTCCATGGTCACTCTGCATTGCGTACTATGTTTGAGATAAATTTGCGCAATGTTAAAAATGTCAGTAAGAAAACAATGCTACAGTTATCATTAGTTGTTTAAACAAATACTTTACAGTGGGTAGAATCATCTAATCATTCACTCAAATTCTTTTTCTGGAGGTTTTACTTTCTAAGAATTGAAAAATAAAACTACCAATCTATCGCTGTGAAGGAATAAATGAACTCGGTTCAAAGCCAGAGCCTACTTTCTCCTAAGATTCATAATAATATGCATTTCATTATTATCAGTTTGTTCTTTGTTTTTTTTCTTATCAATTTTTTTCTTTTTCCAATTGCAACATCCTGGTGTACTAATAACACCCGGCTGCAGTGAATTTTTTGTTCTGTTTTTAGTTTTTAAGAGTGTTGAGCATCTGAGAAATTTATAGGAAAGTTAGAACCCGCTTTGTAGTATTTTACTCCAAAATGTTAGAGAGTCCTAATCGGGAATACTTTATCTATTGGAACAATTGTAATTCAATTTCGTTCATAAGAATTGTGGGAATGACATCGCCGTGTATTTCACATTACTGCGTCCAAAAATAAAGTTTCAGGTTTTGATGCACTTACATGACACTCCAAATTAGATCCAGGTTTTACAAATCAAAAAATTTCCTCAGGGCTCAGAAAACGACTTTAATTATTATTGTTTCCATTCATACTAATAATATATTTTTCTTGTGAAATTGACACACAAAAACTCACATGTAAATTCGCTCATAGGAAGAATAAAAGAAAACTGCATCAATCTCTTTTGACTTACAGAGATACTGAATTAAAAATACATAACATAATAAGCAGATCTCTTTCTTGGTTTTCTCCATACTTCATTGATTTTACAATTGACAATGTATCCATGCCATAAATATGTACCTAATTAACTTTACTATTTCGGTGAACTGTTGTTTGAAAACCTCTCCTCTGCCTGGTTGTATCTTTATCAGCTTGAATGTAGCTTCTTGCTGATTGTTAATCCATCAAATCAACCATTTCATTTGAAATTAAGTGACAAACATGAACTGGAAATTTTTATTTGTTCGACAAGAAATTTCATAATGCCAGTAGCATTGCTGAGCTGTAAAGAAATTGTTTTTTGAAATATTGATCTCACAGTACAGCTGTATTTGTTTTTAATCTAAGTTTTACTTTGTTATATCACTTCGTTGACCATGGAATATCTTTCATAATGACAAATCTATTAGCGTCCTCATTAACATTCAATAAAATTATGGTTTGAAGTAAGCTGTTAAAGCAAATAAAGCACCTGATTAAGTCTCCTAGATGCTGATCGAACTGGCGTAGTCACATTTTACTCAAGACTAGGTACAGACGGAATCTAATAATTCTAACTTTGGTAGCCAAGCAACTGACTTAAAATTAAACTCAAGGGGACCTAATTTTTTAAGGATCCATCCCGGTCTTATTGAGAACCAGTCAGAAGATTTGTTTCAGCCTGTACCTATATTGTAAACTACTTAAAAATCCACAGATTCCAGGGAATTCAAAATAAGACTGTAGGTATTAAGTTTTATCCTCAGATTCTTTTTAAGTATCAATTTAAGTCAAAACAAGCTTAAACCTGACATTGGTACACAACTTTTGCGCTAACAGCTTTTTGATTTTATGAAGATGCTGTTTTTTGGCCCGACCTTGTAATCAATCAAGTATTCTATGCTTTGCAAAAATTGGGCTGTATACATTTACACAGTTTGCTATAAAAATGAGCTGGATCACCCTATCCGGAAAGAGGTTCTCCGGTTAGAAATAGTGAGCTTTTCATTTTGGAGCCCCCACAGCTATCATTCGCAATATGTATAATATACAAGTATGACCATAAAGCAAAACGATCTAAGGAAAAACTCAAGCGTTCAGAACATTCAAATCAGCATTTTCTCTGAGGTTTTTTTTTCCACACAAGTGATGTATTGAGGGCCTCAAAAACATGTTTCTCACCTCAATTGTGACGTTTCAAAATCTCCATTGTTATGTTTAATATTTTTGAAGAATAATACCCTGACGTCACTGATTGACATTTTTGAATGAAGAAATACAGTAAAAATTCCAAGAAATACTGTTCACGAAAATATTCCTCTGTAAAAATTAAACGTGACCATAATCTACAAAATAGCAAGACGCAGGTTCTCCAAGATTCACCACCGATATCTATCCGTTATATAATTCCCACCCCTCTCAATCTGTTTTTCTAACATTTTTTTGAAATACTGATTATTCTTTAAATTATTTTTTATTTCATCTTTGATTTACACGTGTGTTCCATGAATTAGATGATGCATTTTTCAATTCCTCGCTAGACTAGAATAATATGGTCAGATACCTTATGTGTCAACATGGCACATGTGTATGTTTTACTGTGTTAGGCTTCTACCTTTGGTCTTTTTGATGTCACGTATTGCTAATGTGCTCAAACTCCAGTACTCAAAAAATAAAAATAAAAACTCTTCAATGTTTATTTCACTGATGAATCTCTTATTATGAATCCCTTCCCATATTTTCTAAGTCCTGAGAGAATTATTTCTCTTACAATTCTCCAGGACTGTCAGCGGCAACTGCTATTTTGCCGTCATCCTGAAATGTTTCTAAAAACCAGGCATTCCCGAATTTTTCGCATGGTCACCACTCACCAATAAAGGAGGCAACACAGAATGGTGAAACGCTTTTACCTTTAAAAAGTCTTTATATCCTTAATAGCATTTTGCCTTTTAAATTTGGGCTTCAAGAAAACGGGGGAAATTGTTCAAATGTACGAGTCAGGAAACCATTTTAGTTCATTTTTCAATATTTGTCAAATTTGCGTCAAAAAATTATGAAAAAAAAAAAAAATTGTCACCAAAATTTTGTTAATTTCAAAAAATAAAGCATATTAAGGTACTAAACGCAACTAAAAAACTGCAAAATACGCAACTTGAAGAGCGTTAATTGCCCAATGTAACCCCCCATGGATTTTCCTCGATTTTGGACGAGAGAAAATGTCCAGCTGAGTGTAGAATTCTATGTAGTTTGAGGCGTAGAATGAATTTCCCCTGGTCCGATACTTGCCGGAACTTCCTGAACCGAGCGTGCAGGGAGGCTATTTCCATTTAAATCTTCCGTCACATTCTTACGGCGCAATGATACAACTATTTGAACTCTCCCGAATGCGTGAGATATCACGCCGCATTTGAAGGCGTTTTCATTACACCCAAGTTCCGTTATCTGAATAATCGTTTTGCATAGTTCATATTATTTTGTTTCCATTTCTAACCCTTTGTTTAATTATAATCCTCCTATTAAAACCACACATTTGCTAAATACAATTCTAGCTGGAGCGCACCTCAGCTATGCATTCACCACTGCAAAAATGTTCACGGAAATCGAAAAGGCCAGCGTGCATGAAGGCTATTTCAATTGTTATCTTCCGTCGCATTTCCAAGGCGCAATGATACAACTATTTGAACTCTCCGGAATGCGTGAGGTATCACGCCGCATTTGAAGGCGTTTTCAAAACAGCCAAGTTCCGATACCCGGAGTATCGATTGCTTAGTTCATATTCTTTTGTTATATTCCGTGCCACTCGTTTATTTTTAATCCTCGTAGAAAAACCACCCATTTGCTAAATACAATTCTAGCTGGAGCGCACTTCAGCTATGCATTCACCACTGCAAAAATGTCAAAGGAAATCGACAAGCCCAGCGTGCATGGAGGCTATCTCCATTTCAATCTTCCGTCACATACTTACGTCGCAATGATACAACTATTTGAACTCTCCGGAATGCGTGAGGTATCACGCCGTATTTGAAGGCGTTTTCAAAACAGCCAAGTTCCGATACCCGGAGTATCGTTTTGCATAAGTAGTTCATATTATTTTGTTATATTCCGTACCACTCGTTTATTTATAATCCTCGTAGAAAAACCACCCATTTGCTAAATATAATTCTAGCTGGAGCGCACCTCAGCTTTTCATTCACCACTGCAAAAATGTTCACGGAAATCGAAAAGGCCAGCGTGCTAGGAGGCTATCCCCATTTCAATCTTCCGTCACATTCTTACGGCGCAATGATACAACTATTTGAACTCTCCGGAATGCGTGAGGTATCACGCCGTATTTGAAGGCGTTTTCAACACAGCCAAGTTCCGATACCCGGAGTATTGTTTTGCTTCGTTCATATTCTTTTGTTTCCATTTCTAACCACTTGTTTTATTATAATCCTCCTATAAAAACCACCCAATTGCTAAATACAATTCTAGCTGAAGTGCACTTAAGGGCATTCACCACTGCAAAAATGTCAAAGGAAATCGAAAAGGCCAGCGTGCATGAAGGCTATTTCAATGGGCCTGTTGCAAACTTTTGCTAGAGCAAAAATAAGGGTTGCCGTTTACAGATAATGCCTCAAAAATTACGATGAGCGCATCGGCAAAGTCAGAAATGCACTCATAACTTCCCAATCTGCGTAAGAAATTTGCGGTTTTTTGAGCTTCCCGCTTCAAAAACGATACTACGGCACAGGTGAATATTTTGTCAGAGGAGTCGCTCCATCGTCGGCAATAGTCATCATGGCCGATGCGTGCGCAATTCGAGGAGAGTTTAAGGCCAATCAAGGCGGGCGAGGAAATTATGAACGTAAACACGCCAATTGTTATGTGGTCTAATCCTGTTCAGGTGTTATATCGTCCCATCACACGGGTTTTGGCGGATTGGTTCGGCCATGATGAGTATTGCCGACGATGGAACGACTATTCTAACAAAATTTTCACCTGGGCCGAAGTATCGTTTTTGAAGCGAGAAGCTCAAAAAACTGCAACCTTCTTGCGTAGATTGTGAAGTTATGAGAGCATTTCAGACTTTGCCGATGCGCTCATCGTGATTTTTGAAGCATTATCTGTAAGAAACAGTTCTTAGTTTTGCTCCAGCGAAAGTTTGCAACAGACCCATTCTTGTCGCATTTCTAAGGCGCAATGATACAACTATTTGAACTCTCCAGAATGCGTGAGGTATCACGCCGTATTTGGAGGCGTGTTCAAAACAGCCAAGTTCCGATACCCGGAGTATCGTTTTGCTTAGTTCATATTCTTGTGTTATATTCCGTACCACTCGTTTATTTTTAATCCTCGTAGAAAAACCACCCATTTGCTAAATACAATTCTAGCTGGAGCGCTCAGCTATGCATTTACCACTGCAAAAATGTCAAAGGAAATCGACAAGCCCAGAGTGCTAGGAGGCTAGCATCATTTCAATCTTCCGTCACATACTTACGTCGCAATGATACAACTATTTGAACTCTCCCGAATACGTGAGATATCACGCCGCATTTAAAGGCGTTTTCATTACACCCAAGTTCCGTTATCTGAATAATCGTTTTGCATAGTTCATATTATTTTGTTTCCATTTCTAACCACTTGTTTAATTATAATCCTCCTATAAAAATTACCCATTTGCTATATTCAATTCTAGCTGGAGCGCACTTCAGCTATGCATTCACCACTGCAAAAATGTCAACGGAAATCGACAAGCCCAGCGCACATGAAGGCAGGCCCGCCATAAGTGGGGGATACTGGGTCCCTGGTACTGGGGCCCGGGTCCTGGTACTGGGGCCCGGGTCCCGGAGGGGGCCCGTGTTACCCGCGAAAAGCCACTACGAATTCACATGCAACCCTTGTGTCGTAAGAAAAAGTGAAAAATTTACCCTAATAATTTCGCAAAAGGTGAATAGAATTTCAGAAACACGCTGGGGCACTGTAGAATTCTTTTTGAATTTTCAAAGAAGTATTCTTCTTGGAAAATTTCTTTCTATTTTCAAGATTTTCAGCACAGAGGGATATTTTTAGTAACTGCGTTTCATTTTCTTCCGTCGTCAGATGCTAAGAGTCTCCAGTCTGGGCATCCTCGACTTCAATGGCTCATGGCTCAACTCCCTTGCCATAGACATACGAAGGGGGAGTCCATGGGGGCCTGGCCCTCATAGAACTGAAAATAGTATCATATGCCACCCCCCTCCCCCCAAAAAAAATAAATAAAAATAAAAATTTTCCAGATGTTTTGAATGCAACAATTCGCAAGTATTTTGTGCTGAAAGTAGAAAAAAAACATAATTATTCCGCAGAAATGGATGGAAAAATTCTTTACGGAAGCTTCAAAATGCGTCCAATTAGTCTTATAAATTCTAAAATTTCTTGGGGGATGCCCCTCGGACCCACCCCCCCCCCTCCGTGCTTGGGGCCCGGACCTTAAAACTGGTACCAGGGCCCGAGATGGGATGTGGCGGGCCTGTCCTTCAGTCTCGTAGGCGCTGAGCGCTTCACACCGCCCGCTGCTGAACGCATTGTGTTTGACGCAATGCGTGAAGTTTTCATGAAGTCATGTAGGCGCTACCTATGCGTTTCTCGTCGACCGCACTGTGTTTGATGCAATGCGTTAAGTATTCATGCAGTCTTGAAGGCGCTAATATGTGTTACATACCGACCGCCGCGCTTAGGGCTTCTCCTTTTCATTTCAAGTTTTCGTCATCATTGCTCCCTGCGCCGCGCCGTTTCAGGCCAAATTGCGTGTTTGGTTTCTCTCTTAGCTCGACTAATTAAAGGTGCTATCTCTTGTATCACCGAAAGACAACAAAAGTAGAATTTTCTACACTCTCAGGATTTTGTCGCCTTTTCTAGTTTGTACATTTTCTTCTGAATCCGATTTTTGGCGCGTATACGTAGTATACCGCCTTTGCGATCGTTTCGACCCCCCCCCCCATACAATAACCGAGTCCCCTAGTTCCTTACCGAAAAGTGACTACCGCGAACTTCTGAGATTTTCCAAAGCGTGTAAAAAGTTTACTAATCCGTCAATAATAATGATTAAAATTTGTTTCTCATTCTGGGGCTCGCTAGTTTATGTGTAATGAATACCAAGAGTCTACGTTTCTTGGTTTTTTTTAAAAAAACCTTAGAATGGGGCGCGCTGATTTAAAATATGCATATATAAGCGGAAGCAAGCGAACTGATTCGAGGATGGCTGACCAGTTCGGCACTCCTTGAATGAGAATTTCACTCACTCCGTTTTGTTCACAACGTTGCTTTGACATATCTCCACAACACTGTTATCCTTTTCAAAAGTTGGTACTCCTTGCTCTGATAGCCGGGGCCACCAGGATAGTGGTAAGTGCAATCTGTGATGAGCCTCGAGACTCATTAGACCATTTGCTAAACGTGGCTCATACAGGAGTCCACTAAGCCCTCTCGTCCCCACGCTCCTGATCACTGCGTCGGCGTCACGAAGAACAATGGGCCTTGGGTCCCAACGCGGCCGATACCCGTACCCCAATTACTCACGCTTCATTAACCATTTCACCGTCACGCTAGGATTCATCCAATTTTCAAAAAAAATTGTTTCGCATGTATTTAGCAATTTTTTCCTTACTCTCCGTTAAAACACAAATAAAAAGAGACCTCATTCATAAAAATCGGCCGAATAGAAGAGAAGTTACAGTAATCGAAATCCGAAGAAATCAACAAAACCTCGACTCCTCGATACGAAAAATAAAATGAAGGGGAAAAAAAGAAAGTATAAATTACAATTAAATATAATTGACCTCAAAATTTGACAAACAATTCATTTATATACCTAACGCTGAAAAAACTGGGAGAAATTACAAAAAATTTGCCTCTTGCAAGGGGCTTCTTTGTAAGAATTTTGACCTGAAGACAACGGTCGAATAACAGCAGTACTCCATACAATACACGGTGTGCCTGAACGAGTTAAACATTTTTCATACGTCCAAATCGAAAAATCTTTATATTTTTAACTACAATGTTTCTTGAATCGTTTAAGCAAAAAAAAAAAAAAAAAAAATTCCGTCGAGATTCTGGAACGCAAAGGCGCTTTAAAAGTATTCTGGGGCTATAATAGCTAAATCACCGGTAGTAAATTCGTTATATTATTAAAAAGAAATTGACTCCATAGTTTAATTCCTTAGTTTCTTGAATACGATTATTTTAAGCACTTAAACATTTATACCACCAATTTTAGCCATGGGGTGATTTCCTGAGAGCCGATAATATCACGAATTTCTCATAGAACCCCTCAACAGTGGCTTGCTTTTTTGGCAGCCGATTCGGCCATCGAACCGGAGTTTAAATGGAAGCTGATAATAACCCAAAGCTCTGAGAAAAATTTTGAGATGAGTATAAGAACGGTTTGTTGTAAGTAGCGAGGAGAGGCGGGCAAAGCGGCTAAAATCCTATCTAATTTTTACAGTTTTTCTGTTGAATTAATGTTGCCGCGGGCTTCTGACTGTCCACACATAGTTCTGTTCAGCATATCGATACATAAGTATTTACATTTTACATACGTAGAATCTAATTTTCACGTCGGGGAGTTGACATATTTTGATTTTTTCGATTTTATACGGAAAATTGATGGTTTTTCGGGATTGAAATTATTATTGTTTCATGAAAAATAAATGCACCCAAAATGACTATAGCATATTGATTCTTACACATTTGCACTCACAAAATTGGTTGGTAAATTCAACGAGTGGGTGCATCGACCTGGTATATCAAGTTTCTGCAATTTTTTACGGCAAATCAGTAGATTTTCGGGATGTAGATTGCTTACTTTCAATTCATGAATGAATAAAGCAACGACATGGTTGAACTTCTTTGCATGGAAAGACGTTTAAAATAACAAAATCAAGACGTATTTAATGCAATTGCATTTATATCGAGTCAATTTCTTTTCAATAATATAACGGGATTTTTACTACCGGTGATTTGGGTATTTTAGCCCCAAAATACCTTTAAATCGACTTTATCTTCTAGGAGTTCGACAGAATTTTTCCTTTCTTCGCTTAAATTATTCCGAAGCACTTTTCTTCAAGAATCTGATAAGATTTTGCTTGAGGCAGATCAAAAAACTTAAATTCGATCGAATAGCTTTCTACTTTCACAATACACGGTCTCGTCAAGGTGCGTCTTTGACCTCGCAGTGTTGGATCGTGAATTCTCTTTTTATGCTGTTTGCCTATTTTGAAATCTCTGTAAATGAAAACTAAAGGGGTTGATATGTGCGAGTTAATGACGCGCCTTATCAACACATTGTGTTGGAGTTCACTGCTTGTTTTTTTTTATACCTACCTGCATTTAAAAAAATTGCAAAATTTGCCGCCATGGGCCGCGGCGTATGTGGCCACACCCAAAATCCGGCCCTGGGCCAGGTGTTCCGACAAGAATCGATTCTTCAACATAGGTTTAAATGGAGGGAATCCGGTGTTGCCAATTTGCTGGATCCGTCTTTGGATTATTCGTAGCATTTTAAATATTTATTTGATATGATGTTCCTTACAACCACCTGGGCACGATAAGCTTTAAAATTTGAATTCTGTGTGCCAATCTCCAGAAACGCCAGGCTGAAAATTGAATCTTTTGTCATATTTACTCAAATTATCTATCAGAAATGTTGCAACATATTATTGGTGATCTAAGAAAGCTTTTGTTTTCTCAAATAATAGCTAAAAGCTAACGCTAAATTTTTGAGTTTTCAGTGGACGTTTCAGAGGGGATTTTAATTGTAGGAAAAACTCAAAGGAACTGTCAGCAATTTACAAAGATTCTAGGTGTGTCACTCTTAGATGGGAATCTTTTATGACTATAGCTCTGGCAAATTTTAATAAACATTTTACATTGGTATATTTTCTCTTAATTTCTCATAATTATTATAAATCATTTTTATTATCTTACTTGAAGTCTCGAGCATTTCCTGCGCAAATTCTTTTAGATTTTTTTTTAACCCCGGAGGTTTCCTTTTAGTTCAATATTATGGAATTGAAAATTGTGCGCTAAGCACGAATTATACTGCCACACATTTCAAAATCACAGGTTTTCGTCGAAAATGAGCCTTGAAATGTATTAAAGTAGGTATTTTTTTATTTTAGTACATAAAAGTACAATTATTCAAATACAGATTATCTAAACTAGCATAAATACACAGTTCAAATACTCTTAAAAGGAAAAATAACAATCAGACTATGAAACTAGGTAGTTTTAAATGTAAAAACAGTTTGGTAATTTCTTACCGAGTTTCATAAACTCACTAAAAGAAAAAGTACAAATTACACAAAAAAATGTGAAAAATTCATACCCTCATACTCTAATATTAAAATACTGAAACAAAAGGAATTGCTTTGAGTGCACGTAAAAAATACTGGTGGATTATAATTAATTACAGGTAAGTATTTTGAAAATTGAAAGAAATGGTAAAGACACGTTGCGTAGATTAGACGTTGGCAAATACGATGAGGTATATATAAGGCACTGGAACTCGTTCGGCGGCTGTTACCAATTTCCTCCAAGAAAACCTTCATTTTAAAGAAAACGTATAGATTTTCTTCCAGATATTTTAAATGATCGTTATTCACACGCTCACATACTATTTTTTTTAAACAAAAAACAATTAAGGAAACAAAAAAACGTTATTTTTTGTAAAAGTATTTTGTAAATGTAACGTTTGAAGGCTCATACAATGTTTTTTGTAAGTGCAATAAAGCAGAGGTTACATTGATTCACCGAGAAGTTATTTTATAAATATCAAAAGATTTCGGTGCGTACCTAGTATTCTAAGACCATCCCATTCTTAAATCATAAATTGTGATGTCGTATGAATGTACCTTCACTTTAAATAATGTTTAAAGCCGTAACAGAGCCTAATAAATTATTTCAATGACACTTAGGTTGAAAACGGTGGGTTGAAAACTCAAATAAATAATTAAAATCATTGCATGAATGAAAAAGTTCGTGTAATTTATAGCTCCATTGACATTATTAAGAGAGAGCAAGTCAATTTACAACGCACAGTTTTGAAACTTCAAATGGAAATAATGTGCCGGTTAAGTATGCCACGCAATTACATCATTACGATCCTACTTCATTTAAAAACATTGTGATTACCTGACATTATCTGCATTTTGCTTCTTTTAAACCATTCTGGAATTTGAAAATTCGTATTTCCTGTTTTTACTCACCCACAATGAGCTTAGAATTAAACTGAAACTCTCTTATTTTCTTGCAGAATTTGAAAAATTGAAAAAGATGAGAAAAAATATTTAACCTGAGAGGACCCGAGGACCCCCCTGAATTCTGTTAGCCCTACCCTGAAAATATGTAGGTACTTAAGTATTAAATTAAAACACACACTTAAAATCAAATCGGAAATTTTGTTAAAAATGATGGGAGAGGCACTGCAATCGACCTTTCTTGGAGGTCTCAACTGTAGAATGTTTTTATTGTCTGTATTCAATACATGAATAAAAAAGTAAAATGGAACAAGAAACACTTGAAAGTTAGCCTCCTTGCCTGGTAACCAAAAGATGATACGAGATGAATCGTTCTCGTGATGTAAAACAAAATACAGCACCAAAAAATCTGCGATTTTAAAAATCGTAAAAAAAATTTCAACGTGTATACCTATAGTCCTATATGCCTGCTTAAATACTTTCATCAACAATTAAGTACCTAACAGTGCTTTAAAAAGCAATAAAAATCAAGAGAAAGTTGAATTGTTCGCTGCTACCGACTAGTCGGATGAAAATCTTATGAAAATCTTTCTCACGGCGTATCAAACAAGATCATTTTTCTCAATGTTTGGTTTTAACAAGGAACAATTCATCTGTACAAACTCGAGAGTCACAATCACTAACATCCGAGCAGGTGGGGAAGCTGTAGCTAAAATGACATGTGCAACAAAAGAATAATGGTGAAAATGAATTATAACATCCAAATAACTCGACTTAAATACTAGAAAAAAAGGAAAAGAAAACCTAAAAATAAAACATTTAGTCTCCGTGGAGTTATGGCACTTGTCAAGAATTTGGGGCCCAAATTTTTTAAATTTAACTGGTCAGAATTTTGAAGGAGCTTGACAATTTCAAAGTTATCCATGATTCAATGCTAATCAGCCATCGTTGTTGCCTCCTCACACTTTTTACCATGAACAGCATGTTGTTTTCCGTTCATTTAATAATCGTTGCTAATAAGGACGTATTCACAGCTTTTGCAGATTTTCTCTTCAATTTCGAAGAAAAATTATATGACTGAAGACTCCTATATCACATCTGTCAAAAAATGAGCGAAAAACATTGATGCAATTTGAGATCTTTTTTCTGTCGTATGCGATGGTTCACATTTCGAAGGAAACGTATCCTTTTTAAATATTTTAGCTTTGTTTCAAGAGAGAAGAAAAACGGAGGATTCAAATCGAAAAAAATTCTCTAAGAGCACACAGTCACACACTTCATTCTTGAAATAGGCACTTCAGATGCGAGGAAATTAGACCAATAGTTTTTAGTGAATAATATCATAAATTAGACTCCCCAAACAAATGTTGACATTAAAAAAAATTGTGATCACAGACGTAGTTACGGTTCGTGAGTATTTGTTCGTTTCAGCAATGAAGAGTTTCATGAGTGTGAGAGACTTTCGCCCATACCGAGAAAAAGCTAGTAAATTATTTATTTTTTAAATAGATATAATTTATTGTTTAGAATTTTCAGGATTTTGTAAACCCTGGTGGGTGACCCATGGCACAAAAGTATACTAGGCTGCATAGCAGCCCATTATCATCTACCCCAGCAAAAACAAAAAAAAATACAAATTGGGAGATATTCAAACTTTCATCCAAGTAGTTTAATCTTTTTTAAACCTGTCGGTTTTCTGTTTTATTGGTGCTTAAAAAGATGTCAGAAAAGAACCCAATAGTTGGAAAGGAGACCAGATTAAAAATAAATGTGCGTATAGTACGTGCAGATTGGAGCTCTTTACAATGTTCAATAAGAGAGAAATCTTCCGGAACTGCTATTGTTTTTTAGTATAAATTAAAAAAGAAAAGAAAGCCTTTCAAACGATTTAAAATTCAATTCCTTTTTCTTCATAATTTTTTTTTTTTACAAATTCATGCAGTCGAAATAAGTTCTGCACGCACGGTCACTTTGCAAATACATATTGCTTTCATACTCTCCTAGAATGTCACGAGTGTCATGCTAAAGAAAAACGCCGTATGAGCCTCCAGTAGTTGCCATACTTCCATAGATAAGATAGGAATTTTCAGGGAAACCTGTGTATGTTTTCCCTCAATTTTTTAGAGAATTTCATTCGCAATTTAATCCTTAGTATCTGAAAATTTTAATATGAAATCCCCTTCAAAATGAATGTTTTATTGGGGTAAATTTGGCAACATCCGAGGATTCATTCGGCGTTTTTCTTTAGCAAAGCATAATAGTAAGCACATCAGTGCAATAGAAATCATCGCAAGTTGGCAACACTGTATTCCCTTCCCTCCATTTAAATCCCTTGCAAATAATCGAATTCAAAAGAAGCAGAGAATGTAAAAAAGGGTTTCTCGACCAATTTGTTGCACAATTTATCATTGAGAAACTTTTTGAGAACGTAAAAATATTCAAGATGAAGAATTTTCGATGCAGAATTAAGTACTAATCTTTTTTTAGAGCCTCCTCAAGGCCTTAAAATGTGGACTCTGCACACTCGAATGACTGTCAAGAAATTGTATTTTCAATCGGGACTGCGGAATTTGTTAAGATGAAGTCAATCTAAATATCAAAACACTCTGTGCAATTTGTGAATCAATGGTATCGTAGGTAATTACATACTGTTGGGAAACAATTTTCCAACTTGAAAAAATCACAAAAAAATCGGCGAATCGTTCAATTTTTCTCTCAGATAAATTATCAACGGATGAATTTTTTTCCTTGATATTGCACATTTTAAAGCCTCTCTAAATTACTGCATCGATCGTTGAACATCAGGCCACCCATCCCGAAAATTTAGAAAATGGAAACGGGTGGATTCCCGGATTTATAATTTGAGGTGTTCCTCTTACGACCACTCAAAAAAGAATTTATATATTTGTCTTGGAATTCCAGCCCCTCATCTGTCACTGTTAAGAATCATTGTAGTACACGAAAAAGCTGAGCTTTTCATAACTTTTCGGGAAGGAGGGGAGTCTAGGAAGCGATGTGAGCATAGCATGCCTTTTCTTGATGGGTCGCAATTGGTGAAAGATTTCTCGCAAATTGATGACATCTTATTTCTGCTTTTTCTTTTTTTCCTCCTTTTAATCCATTATAAAAAAACAATTCTAGACAGGGTGGCCTGCTTTCATTCATACGTAGGTTTGTATCCTCTTGCCTCCGTGTAAATATTCACAATTCATATATTTTCTTTTCTTAAAATTTATCATGCTCCTTGAAACATATGAAATAATACTAATAGAATTCTGCACATGCGGTCGCTTTTCTTTTGTTATCCTGTCCCGTGGCACGGTGGTCATTTTCACTTTTATTTGAATCTCGGGTTTTTAAACTTTCACTACAGCTTGAGCTTTGATTCTATTCGATGCTTTTTTGGTTACTTTTCCTTTCCTTCTCTCACATCCATAGTAGCTATCCATCTAAAGCTCAGCTGCATGCAGTTAACAGAAACCAACCGTCTCCTTCGGTTCCTGGCTTTCGAGGTGAGAAGAGGGAGTCAATCGTGCGAGAGGAAAATCTAACGGCAAGTTACATATTTGTCCCGTGGAATATATTTTTAAGCGATTGCTTCAGGGGTTGTTATGGGTTTCTCGTCGTCCATGATAAGGGCTTTATTCGTGAACCCTTCGCGAAGAGTAACAGAGCCGTTCCTATTTGCTTTAGCATCACTCGTGGGCGAAACAGCATCCTTCTCCTGCAAAAAGACGATTTGCTTGTTAGAGCCAAGAACACAACAGATGAACAATGTTCGAATCAGATATAGAACTCCCGCGTGGTTTAGTAAACAGACTTTAAGCGCTTGAATGAGTTACTGAACAGGATATGTTTTAGCTCCCTAAAATACACCTGGAGAGCCCAACAATAAGACTTTTTTTTTTTTTTTTTTTTTTTTTTTTTTTTTTTTTTTTTTTTTTTTTACAGAAATGGGTTTTGGGAGTCCAGTAATACTGAGCAGCCACTTGGTTAGGTAAGCACTTGGGGAAGTTGAGGACTCCTTCAAGACACATTTTCTTACGCTTGCACGTTGAGAGAAAAAAAATGTTTGAATAAATTTGACATTCTTTGAAAAAAATGAGAATTCAACATTGTAATTGCGTTAGAGGTGTACTTTTTACGTGCACAAGGCACGTTTTTGCAATTCCTGAAACGGTGTCAATAGGTACGGATGAGATTTTTTTTTTTTTTTTTTTTATCAGAACAATATTGTGAGCCTACAAGAGGAAACAACCATACCTGGATTGGAAGATGGAGTTTTTCTTTGAGGTCATTGGTGAAGGATTCGTACCACGTCCTGAACGGTGGGGAAAGGAGATCCGGGTGGATTCGGGATGGGTCCTCTGGATTGTGCGTCAATAGACTCACTGTCAGACCTATGATAAGTGTCCCCATGAAACCAATCACGGAGTACCATAGGTAGCTAATTCGATACAGGTAAAACACACTGCAAGTAATGGAAAACAAAAATTCATTAATATTCAAAATGCTTCAGAAAGATGTTCATAGATGAGATATTATTTGCTGAACTCGAGTTCGGTAAAATTTTCTATGTTTAAAAAGGGATATCGATGGTGAAAGAACCAGACTAGGTATGTACCTTCGTTTCTCGAGAGTTTAAAAACACGCATAGATACGTGCGTTTGTGGTTGCATTGTCGACGTGCGCTTGTAGTTAATATCTCTGTCGAAAAGCGGTCTAATGTTTGTGACATCGCCTGGATGCAACTATTCGTGTTCTGCGGATGCCCGTGTTGCATACACACACAATTGAAGGAGCTCTGACTGATCCGCATCTGAACACGTGGATAAAACTATTCGTAGGTATTTTGTTAATGCCAGTGTTGCAGCACAAAATTAAATGCATTCAGACTTTCCTTTATCACAATCCGTGGATGCAACATTCGTGTTCTGCGGTTGTCCCTGTTTTTAACACACGAAACTGAAGGTTATTTACATTTTTCCCGTCCCTCAGTGCAGTGCTGCAATGCGTGCAATACATTATAAGTGCAACCACTACGAGTAGTGTCAATGATCCAGGATTGTACGTATATTATATCCTCCCATTTTAATGCTCCTTGATTAAAAATAAACTATTTGCAAATTAGAAAATCCTTGGCTGTAATAATTTAGTCTTAACTGATGAAATTTTATGTATTAATTCGGATTTACTTTTTACATTCTTGAATAAATGAACTATTTAGAGAAAGAACTGTGTCACAATCTTGAATTTATATAGTCTTGAATACTTTGTATTACTGTGCTGTCCTATAATGTTGGGACATTTACCACTCTCCACTCACCGTGATAATTGGTCCATAAGCGTTACCAAGGTTCTTTATCTGGTAGAAATTCTTGGAAGTAGATGTATTGAAACCCGGAAAATCAAATTTTCTACCGTCGCTGGGATACTGGTAGAAAGTGTCTATTATTTGTCTCCACGTCTAATCCAGAGAGAATAAATGCGCTTTTTGTGTCCGACGTAGAAACTGATAGATTTTATCGGTGGATGAATGGCACCATAAAATGTCTATCGCGCGACACAAAATAAAATTTAAAATCAGTAGAAGGTACACAAAACCCGCGCGAGACAGAGAATTAAAATTAGTTGTAATTGATTGTCAATGGGTAGGTGCATATACCTGGAGTTGTCGAAAGGCTCCAATCCTCCGGAGGGTGACTCGGTGGCATTGAAACAGGGACATCCGGCAACTGAAATGGGTTTCTTTTCCTCGGGTTCGAATCCGTGTGCTTGTGCGATTTGAGTTCCAATCCCAATCCACAATACCACAGCTAGGCTCACGCTAGCGCCGACCAAAGCACCCTGAAGAGAGAAAAGGAACAAATTATAGATTGAAGAGCTTGATGGAAAAAATGCATTTTTAACCCCCTCCTTTCTTTGCTTCAAACTGTATATGTTCATCTTTCATAATTTAGCCTTTCCTTCCCCTTTGTAGGTATCCACATACACACACATACTCCACATACTATATCCAGGAGGTTGTCGGCCCCCTATGGTGTAGTGGTTGTAGCGCTAACTCTATGATGGGGAGGTCGCGGGTTCGATTCCCGGGCAGGCGACCCGAGTTTTATGGTCTCAAACAATGGTTTGGGACTAAAGCGCAGGATTAGCCCTTGTGGACTATTTGAAGTGGTAAAAAAAAAACAAAAAAAAAGCATAAGGTTGCTCAAAGCTCGGTGTAGAGAGGACAATGATTTTTGTGCTGTTTCAGAGTTTTTGACACAATCGATCGTGCAAATTATCAGGAAAATGCAATAAAACCTTGTTTTTCCCCCTCGTTAAAAAACATCTGTGAAATATTCCACTGTCTTTAGAGATATTTTAATAACATTTTTAAGCATCATTTTGCTACATCATGAGCATAGTATTTTAGTAAAAACACATTTTTAAAACTCTCCTTGGACCAATTTACGCAAAATAAATCTGTCCCCTTGTTGTTTTCATAGATTTTAAAAATACCTGAGATGCAAGTTGGGGGAAGGGGAATTAGGATATCGGGCAGCATGATGGCTGCTTTGAATATTTTGATAAACGGGAATAAAGGAAATACAAGGAATTTGGGGGCTAAAATTGAAAAAAAAAATTACCTTTGAATTGCCCCACGGCACAAACATTCCAAGGGAGAAAAGACCGAGAGTCACTCCTCCTACCATACCATTAAAACTCAAAGCAACCTGAAATCGAATAAAGAATATCATTTTAGGCTGCACAATTTATTAGAGAAAAAATTATTTAAGTGTAATTTATGGACAAAATTTGGTCAAATACGTTGGGAAAGTAAAATATGTGTACTAAAAGTCCAAAAATATAAATACAAGTTTACTAAGAAAACCTCCTTTATCATTACTGTAGGGCGAAGCAAACTATCAAATATAGCTGAAATCGAGAAGTGCGTGTCTCCATCGCAATGGCTAAAACTCTCTAGTATGGTACACCATTAATGACGTCATTGATATGTGCCTCGCAGACATCACCAACGGATCCCCCGGTGACGTCATGAACCGCAGTTCAGATGACGTCATCGACGGGTTCTCCTATGACGTCTTCATCAGGTATCTTAATGACCTCCTCCAGTAGGTAGTGTCCCAAAGGCGTCAACAGGTGTCTTGATGACTTTATAATTTCTTCCGTTTTATCGGTTCGGTATAATCTTTTCCCTCATCGTATTAATACATCCCTCATGGATATGTTTCTAAAATTACCTGCATGACGCTGCCTAATTGTTGTACGACAAAAACGAGGGCAAAACTGACTGCCCCGAACATGATGGACAACCATTTTGACCATGCCGCACCGTGCTCATCTTGGATGTGGATGCCGAACGCTCCACCAATGAAGTCTTTCATTGTTACAGCAGCCAAAGAGTTCAAAGCCGAGGCGACAGTTCTGAACAGGGAAGAAACACCAATCAGAATAACACTTAAAGATTACCTGCGATAGCATTACTACAGTGCACGATCCAGTTAGCATGAGTGGCGCTGAATTGCAATGAACTAAAATAATGAATTTAAATAGCATTCTCAGCTTCAAAAGTTACCTTTGCGCTTTTTCGGGAATCTAGAATAATTTTAATGAGTCGCAAGAATAAATTGCAACATGTATTCTGTCAGTCGTGTGGAGTAAAGGCTCTTGAAATTATTACAATGCGTTGCAACTTCGTGCACTTTGCACACTTAAATATAAGAAATAGTTACATGTAAAATAATTTATGAAACAGATATAATATATTGATCATTTCACAGTACAGTCGAACTTCTTTAACTCTTGTCAAAAGATACGTCTAAAATTCAAAGAGGGTAGTTTTGAAGTTCGATTGCCCTAAAATGCACAGGCGGGTCCAAGGGGTGAGGCATAGGGGGCGAATGTCCCTGGTCCCTCCCGTTCGCTTAAAAAAAAAGGAGACCCCTAGCGTAAATATTACCTTGCGGTGAGCTAACCATCACCTCGCGGCAAGGTATCGGCCTATCCATCCTCTCCGAGCCCTATCCGAGCCCTCGCCAAGCCAGTTCAAGGAACTCGACGACCGGGATTAAAACCGTATGACAACACTGTGGACCCAAATCCAGACGCAGGGCTTGAAAAAGGCGACATTACATCGGGAAATACCCCGTGTTGGGTACGATTTTCGTCTCCAGCGTTGCCATGCATAATTATTCCCAGTCGTTAAGTTCCACGAACTGACCCGGCGAGGGCTCGGATAGGGCTCGGTGAGGGTGGATAGGCCGATACCTTGCCGCAAGGTGATGGTTAGCTCACCGCAAGGTAATATTTACGCTAGGGGACAGGAAAATGAAAGGAAGGAGGAGAGAAGAAACCGAGGAAAGAGGAGAAAGGGATGCTCATATTTGGAAATTATTCATGACGAAATTGACTCTCAAACTACATATCGATGGCCAAAGTGCAAAACCACGTATCTGCGTTGCAGCGTCTCAAAATTTCTTATTTTATTTTTTCGAAGAGAGACAAGTCAACTTCATGGCACGAAATTTGTGCAGAATACTCTGCTAATAGTAAAGAAAATTCAAGAAAGTTTTCAAGAGATCACGTCAATTAGTTTTCCAATGAGAAAATAAAAAGTGACAGGACGTCAGCGGCGTCACAGACGGAGATAAGTGCTTTCATACTTTGGCCATCAATATTAAATGTTTTAAAACTTCGAAAAGTTTCTAAAGGAAGCGAAGCCCTTTGAACCCCTTTCCGCCGTCTCCGCCGAAATGTCTAGATCCGCCTTTGCGAATGGAAGATGTAAAGTTTAGCAGAAGGAAGTACAGGAGCTATGTTGAATTTTGAAACATTGGTTCACTATAGTGCTTGACTTTTGCAGTATTAATTTTTATGATTTTTAGTGATATCGTTATCGTAGCTTGTTCTGATCCTTTTTATTTTTCTTTCAAAAATTATTTGAGGCCAATATTTTGATTTTCTGAACCGTGTATTTGAAACTTCGATTCTCACCCCAAAGATGCAGCAAATATCCCGGCTACGAAGAGGCCAGGAAGTCCTTGGTATTTGCCCAGAACATTCATAGTGTACAGAGGTAGGAGTTGATCAGAGGCTTTGATAACCTATGAAAGAAACAAAAACTTTAATTTAAATGGTAGCAATTTGACAGGAGTAATCAATAAGGAGCTAAAAATGCTGAAAATGAACATGAGAGGGATGACAAGTAATGAAGAATGATGAGCAGGAGTCACCCTTCTCATAGCATCGATAATCCTATTAATTACATGGGGCTACAGTGTCAAGGAAATTGGCAAAATACCTATCCTGCCCTTTGCGGCAGAAATAAAGCGTCTATATATGGAATCTGAAAGTAATGTGCATTATACTGAGCCTTACAATGTTGGTCACGGGTATGGTTCTAAAAATGTTCATTGAACGTCCAGCTTTGAGTATACTGAATACCTGCTCCACACAATATAGAAGTCTGTCGTTTTAAGTATGCCGTCAAGTTTTGTCAGATCGTTTCTCAATAATTAATTATTATTATTATTATCATTTTTGTCTTAATTTAGTTTAGGTTAAAAGTTCAACGCAGCTTTTAATAAGTCTGACTGATTGTGAGTACTTCTGACTTTGCAAGGCTAACGGCCCGCTAAAGATGCTGTCTACCCAAAGCATTCCCTCTTTTAAGGTAAGAAAAATATAAAAGACATGAGTCAAATTGAATCCATCCGAATACTTGAAATTAACGTCTTTCCCTTTCATTTATAGCCACGTCATCATCATGTTTTAAAATAATTTGCTGTAACTGCCCTCACGAAGAAAAAAGAATCTTTGCTATTACAGAATGCCCATAATGGATTCTAGGATCTATAGGTCCTACCTACTTTTGTAGATGTGGTCACGATTTTACTTTTTTGGTAACAGTATTATCGTCATCGGTTATCATTCAGCATCGACATCTAGACCAAACTATTTATAACTACCAACATTGTAATTTCAACTAGAATGGAAGGCAGGACCCGAAATTATTATGATTTTAAGAGCTCAGTGATTCTTTTCTATCCGTGTTTATGTTTTTCACTGGAAAAAAGAAAAAAAAATCTAAAATTACTTACTTCGCTTTGCACGGGATCGCAAGCAGCATATTCAGAGTAGATTACCATTCCAGTGTAGAAATTAATTGTGTAGATCACTATCAATGCGGCACTGCTTATCCACAAAGCTCTGAAAACATTGATTAGGATTAATTATTAATAATTTAAAAATAAGTACTCCTTTTTTCCGTATTAAATCAATACGCGTGATCCATGATTCAATTTTCATGCAATTAACAATTATAGATGTCAGTTTGTGAAGAAACAAAATTATTTGCTTAGCACTAGATGATGACACAAAGTTGAAAAAAAAGAGAAAAAAAATTGTCAAATTCTCCCAAGGCGCTTGCAAAATGTGACCAATGAGGAAGTTGTGTTTAAATTTGGAGAGTTATTTAGATTACCTAATCTTCGTCTTTTGTGCTTAGAGTGAACTGTTGCAGTGTGCTTAATATAAGTAATTAAAAAAAAATTTAAAAATAATATTTTTAAAGGTCAATGTTCTCATTAGAATTAAATGTACTCTAATCATAATTGATTCCCAATTAATGTAATTTAACAACCTATTTAAAATTAAAATTCATGTGAAAAAAATTGCACAGACTTTGACTTTACACTTTATCATTGATTCACGTGATTATTTATGGGTTAAAAAGCAGTGCTGCCAACCCGATCGTAGTTTTCCAACCTGATCAGTGGCTTTGAATTAACCGTAATTTTCAGTGATCGCTGGCAGAATAACGATAAGCTTTACGCACCAAACATTACTTTTGGTTGTTAAGTAATTACTCTTAAGTTTGCATAATGGTTGGTGAGGAACATAGGAAAAAGAGAAGTTATAATATAAACTTCCAATACTTACATTCTTGCCTGAGATATTTTCTCAACAGAGAGGTACTTTTGGATAGACGCTTGATTGGCACAAAACATGGAGACCCAGTAAATTGTTCCTCCAATGAGAATACTCCAAACAGAATGCCTTATCGTGGGATCAGGCATAAAACTGAAAAAGGCACGCAATTTCTTTTAGAAGTGAGAATAACATGGCTTAGAGTAAAAGTTTAGGATGTTGTTATTTTTGGGAATTTTTTTTTCCAACCAGGGTCTTAGTTTTTCGTAAAACGCAATAATTATTTTAAACCCCTTCTCTACCGTTCCATCCGATTAAAATTTTCCTCAGAGTATGAAATAACAAATGTTGTAACAAGAGCAGTAACAGAACTTAATTGTATATTTGAAGAGAAAGGCTGATCCGATTTTTTACTTTTGCTGAATTTTAATGATGAGTAATAATACTTGAAATGATTCAAAATAAAATTATGAAATACTTTTCGACGAGGTGAAATGAGAATTTGAATTTCTATGAGATTTTGAGAATTTGCAACGAAGAGAGCCGTCTACAAAGATATTAAATGTGGCAGTTCCTTGTTTGTAAATTTAAATTATCCACTTGTCAAAAAACCGAGGTCTGCGGTGTGTGTGCTCAGCTTTTATCGTAAGAATTATAGTGGAGAACAATTCTAAAATTCTCTTAAATGTTACAAATTGAAGTACACAATGAAGTAAATTATGTTAAAATATGTCAAACATTTGGTTTATTTTATTTTGATCATTTGATGAGATCGATTTCCATGCAGTGATCATTAAGACCAACGTCGATTTTGGTTCTCTCACAAGCGGCAAGTTTGAATGGACTGTAGTACTTTGAAAAGCTGATTACTCACGTGTGAGATAATTTAGGAAGTTTTTAATACCTTCAACGTATTTTAAATGACGTTTTAATAAGGAGACATGTTTCACAGTACTGTCTGTACAGTCTTTACTGTGCGCACGTCAAACTTTCGATCCACCTCTCATTTTCTATTCTGTTTTCATGGTAAAATTGTATTATAATTACTTGACTAGTTCCAGACGCCCCGATTTCCAGCTCTCATTGATCACCTTTGAGGTTCCACCTGAGAGATTGTTTCCCACCAACATTATTAGTATTATGGACCCCATGAGGACTACCCCTTGGAATGTGTCCGTCATAATCACAGCTTTCATGCCTCCCTGGAAAAAGAAAAACACAGGCATCTAGATTTTAAGCCAAATCTAGAATGATGATAATAAATTTCCACAAGAGTGATGTAAAAGTTTCCGCAATTTCAACATGTAAGTACCAGAACTTTTCCAAAATAATTTAGCGGTTATCCAAACATCTAAGCACGTTTTAACATTTACGAAAATATAATAATGTAAGTTAAGATGAAATAAAATCCCCCGTACGCACGCAGTTTTCGAGGGGGCTGTTTTTTATGTCGCAATCACACGCTGAATGTGGCTTGAATGTGGAAGTCATCAGCCCGATGCCTGAATTTTGAGCGTGACGCGCACAATTCAGCAACGATTCTCAACGACCATCGGATAATGTCGGATTTGTCTGAACTATTCGAATAGATTTGATACAAATTTGGATAAAAATAACTCGAATTAGTGAAATTTCAGCTGTTGAGCGTTGACTGTTAACTGCCACATTCAGCTGCCAAAATCAGCGTGTGATTGCGGCATTAGTCATTTTTACACATCAGCAGTCAGTGAGAAATATTATATTTTGCAAATATTTAAAAATATTTACCTGGGAGGCGTAGAAAATACAAACAAAATACACAGCAGTTACAGCAACGTATACATTCATGCCAGTAACTGTGAAAGAAAATTAAAACGTGACATTAGTACACAGAAAAACTATGATAAACAACTGGAGGTAGCAATTTCATTTTATTTATTTTCTTTTCTTAAGCAGTATACAAAATGATGGAATGTAATTCGAGAAAGTTCGCAGTATTTTTTTAAAACTTTCTCGTTCGCCGTGAAATGGCAGATTACTCAATATTTCTACTATTGTGGAATGAAAAATATAGCTCACTGATTTAAAGTCAAACGAAAACTACTTTAAAATATTGATCGGAACAAAAATGTTAGAGCTTCATTTTTTTCATTACTTAATTCACTTCTTTAATTTAAAAAGGTATGCTATCTCCGCTCTTATTTTCAAGTTTTAAAATAGGCGATTGCCACCTGTATGGAAAATAAAATAATATTTACTATTTATATTATTAGAGCTTATTTCTATTGCTACAGACCATTTGGAGTCCATACTACAGATGAAACCAGAGAGTGACTCTTTTTTTAAAAAAAAAAATCGGAATATATTTCAAAGAGTTCTGTGAGATGATTAGATATAGTATCGCAGTTACAACGTTATACTGCGTATTTAAAAATTACCGCGGTAGGTAAAAATTATAGATTTCTTATATTGATTAATGGTTATTTTAAAGGGGAAAAATTATATTTATTTACCGTGACTCAAAGCAAGGGCAGGAGCGTAAACTGTGACGGATGTGTACAAAACCTGCAAAATTCATATCCAACTCAATTAAAAGTATGTATAAAGTAATTGAAACATTTTCTTGTTCAATAATGTATAGATATAATCAAAACATAATTTCATGATAAAAATATTGATGATTATCGGCTTCGCTACCGCCACTATAAGAGGAGCTTTTTTACTAGAAGGCTCAAATGATTGCTCAACCAAACCGGATTTATGACCCTTTTAAGTTTGTTTATCAAGATTTGTTTAATTCATCCCATCTGGCAAACCATTATTATCAAAGGCGTCTTGGACAATAGGTAACAGAAGAATAGAGAATTTGCAGGTGTCTGTAATTTGATGCATTTCGTGTTTAAGTGGAAACTACTGAGTCAACTGAACGCAAGGATACCCTTGGTTCATAATTTGAACAATTATTGGAGAAGATATGACAAAATGATCTAATCTGCTAAAATACATGTGTTTTAATGGGAAATACCGCCAGATGACGTCACTAGGCGGTGCATTTTCTCAATTTTAAATCTATTTTAATACTATTTCCCACATCAGAAAAAAAGCATAAAAAATACTGCGGAATCAGCTCTTTAGGCACTTTCAGATGAAGCAAGAAAAAATTGCATGCAAATTCTCTATTCGATAAATGACTGCATGGTCTGACACAAGTGCCGTTATGGACGGCGACTTTCAATGAAAAAAGGTGTTCATAAAGCTGGCGCGGCTTTTGCCCATTATGCAAGAATGCTGCAAGAAGTAATCTGTCAGGCGTGAGTTTGAGATACTTGCCATTTGTAGAATGTATAACGCTGCGGCCATCGTCCTCACAGCCGGATTGAAACGCATTTCAAAATACTGGAACACAAGAGAACACAGAAAATATTAAACGGGTGTGGGGGGGGGGGGGGGGGGGACTATGGTTCGCATTCATATTGATTCCTTAAGGGAAGACATGAGTCCCTATCTTCACCTTGTAAAATTTACTCATGATATTTAGGGGCCGTTTAAGTATTACGAAACGCACCTTTTTCTGATTTTAACCCCCCCCCTCCCCCTTGTAACGCACCCGTAACGCACGCAGCCCTGCACCCCCTTTTGAATTACTTAATGCTGGCTTGACTCCCCCTTCCCAATTTTTGAAAAGCGCCGAGAAAATTCATTCGGGAAGGGCGGGATTTTCAATTTTTGGCACGTTTTTTTTCAAAGTTTTTTTCCCCGCGGCTAGGACGTGTTACGTAACGCTGAGTTTGACCCCTCCTCCTACTTTGCAATGCCTCGTTATTCACTGAAAAATATAATATGCTGTTATAGCACCTTGGATGTCAAAAGTGTGTCCAATGATCCCAAGATGCTGCCTTTACTGCCCCCGCAGTTAACTTTACATCCCGCGAATGCAAATTCAATTGCATGGGCAATCAAGGCAGCATCTTAGGATCAGCAGACACATTTTTGACATCCTAGGTGCCAAAACAGCATACCATTTTTTCCAGTGGCGGCGGTCCGCTTGAGTCGTCAAGAACCGAGCGCTGTCACTTTTAAGTTTGTCAGAGACTTTAACGCGGGGTCAGGAAAAATTGACCAAAAATGTTTTTAATTTGGAGGATGTTCTAGGACGTTTAGGATGGAACTTAAGTATAGAGTAACCTTAAAGAGAGGGAGAAAGGGAGAGAGAGGGGGGAGAGGGAGAGAGAGGGGGGGGGGGGGAGGGAGAGAGAGGGGGGGGGAGAGAGAGAGATAGGAAGAGGAAACTAGGCTCCATGAAAATCCTAAAGAACGAATGAAGATGGTGACGGCTCTGGGCGGAAGGGATTTTTGCCGCCTTGTGACGATTATCACCAGTGGCGGGGCGTGCTTTGCGATACATCGATTGATCTGCAATTTGAACCTATAGAAAAGTATCGATAAACAGGGTGTTCGCAACGAACACCTTAACAATCGATTCGTTACCACATCTTTAAATGGAAGATATCGATAATCGATTATTCACGCCTCACCACTGATTGTCACATGCTTCATTGGACGCAGCCCTCTGCTAGAGTCGCTAAATGCCGACCGCATCACGCTTTTGTATTAATCAAAGACTTTAACGCAGGATAAAAAAGAAAATGACAAAAATGTACCTATAGCTACACTCCCAACATGCTGCCACATAGTGGAGCAAGCCAATTGAAGTAGTTGGACATGATGTAGAAACTTCACGAGCTTGCATATTCGTTAGTATGGAAATTTGAAGTTTAAAATTGGCCCAATCGGTTATTGAATGTGACTCTCAACAAACAGCATCCCTTAAATTTAAAATTGTGGCTTAATACGCATCGAAATTTGAATTTTCAGCAAGAAATTTCATACCCGACCTCTTTCAATAATGCATTCTACCGTATGCCATAACTCTGGTATGGTTTGAGACACTTGGGCGACTTTGTTCCAAAAATATTCGTAGGAGCCTCTCTACCCTTAGCGTATTAATAACTTAATGATCGTAGACGTAGAATTTACAGGTCTATCATGCTTAGTGCGAACTTTCATTAGATAAGATAATTACGTACCTCATACGACGAAGTGAGCCGCAGCTTCATAAAAACCGGTAAATATAACCGGGAGGTAATAGGAACTACAATGATAAAGGGCAAGCAAATGAGCCAATACTTGGCCCCATAATTGAACATTTCCGCGGGATTTCCCAGCAGTTCAATGGCCGTGATAAAACTGTCAACGATAAAAAAATTGAATTAGATCCAAGAATAGATTTCATTCTGAGACTGCATGAAGATATAAATCGTAAAAAAGCCACAAACTGGATTTATAAAGTAAAATGCATCGATGTAAGCAGCTTAATGCCATATTCTACTCTAGAAAACTTCAACTGTTACCTATGCCTTTAATGAAATCATATCCATGAAGAATTTTTGGACTGCTTTCATCGACGGTATGAGTTTCCCAACCCTTATGTCATTTTTTTTCGAGACGAATCAATCTCATAGTAGTTGGAAATAAATTTACGGCATTAATATTTTTAAGCTTAACGCATTTCAAACAGCCTCGGCGATTTTGTTTATATTTTCCTCCTACAATTAACCAATGCCGCAAGATCTTTGTTGTAAGGTCATGATGTCTAGCCTAGCCACGCCAATTAGGTCACGATGTACACACATACTTCTTGCGCATGCAGAGACGTTTCAAGGGAAATCTCTTTTAATCTTGATCCAACTCCTTTCGCTCATCATGCTTTTTCGATAATCTACCGGCTTAATTGACTACATATCGATGACGCAAGTCAGGAAACAAGCTTCTTGAGTTCTTACAAAATGTTAAAGCCTCCCCATATTAGGATCTATTCCCCTTTCTCTCTTTAAATAAAATATTTAAACATTTCTGTGAATATTTTTTTAATGTAAGAGGAAACTTCATAGTTTTTATTAATTTTTTTACGCCTCAAGTCTTTGATCAATTTTAGGACCAAAAGGGACCTTCATAAATGATATATTACATTCTTTATATTCATCAAAAACAACATACCTTGCAGCAAGGGATAATGCCATCGGGTAGGTTCCCATTTGACTGCCTCCCAGCAAGAAATCACTAGATGTCTTCTGCTTTTGGCCGAAAAATCCGTAGAACATGCCGATGCCGCAGGAAATGACAAGCATACAGAGAAGCACTCCATAGTCGGCAATGCTGAACTTGTTCATGAGTCCATGCTGCATGCCTGGATCATACCACAAAACAATAATTTAGGACGTAGTCATTTGGACGTATTTATGCTAAAAGGAACTATGTAACACGCAAGCCCTACGCACATACTTACTTTTAGCATAAATACGTCCATTTGGTGTCAATGCAATATTGGAATTTCATTGATGAAAAAACCACGCCGCGCGGTTTAAATTTAAGATATAAAAGTCTGAAAATCTAGGGATTCCTACACGCTTGAATTGTATTCTTTATTTTTTTAATGTATGGACTCTCGCAATTTTGGTAACTTATGTCATATGTCTCTTCAATGCTGTCATTGTGTTTATTATGCACTCCTCTACGCGACGTGGCAGTGGACTCATAAATGTGTCTAATTAAGTGCTCCCTCATCTCAGTGTCAGATTCACTTAGAGATAAGATACCTTCCATTGATATATTGGCAATGGTGGAAGCTTTTACTTTTGGCACTCGCACAGTTGACTGTTGACTCACCTAGGTGGATGTTGAATAACGTGTTGGATATTTCATTTGGAAAACAAACCGAATTTTTTAAAACTTGTTTGACTCATTACGTCATGCGAAATTCATCATTCACCTAATAGATAGATCAACAACCAAAATAGGGCGATGACTGTTGTTCCCTAGTAATTGTTCATAGGAAAAAGTTGAATCCCCGCAAAAAAAAATTTCACCTGTCGCCAAGAGGCTAGTGGAAGGTCCCTTGGTCTTTAGATTCAAGCCACGCGCGAATATTACTTGCAATTTTCACCAGGATAATGCTCTGTTATTGCGAATCAGTGACAGTATTGACAATTCAGACAAAGTCATCGGGCTTCATATCATTTTATTTGAAGAAGGAAAAGTTGTGGAGTTGGGAAGGAATATGTTGGATGGCGGATTTGAGAATTTTGCCCTGGCCTTGCCTAGCAACCTTGAATTGCCTCACACATTTATTTCTCAAGAAGAGTATTTATTAGACCTTTTTTATAACTCTTAAATTGACTGCACTTTCTGCTACATCAGAAGTAGAAAATTAAAGATAATTCTTAGAATTCTAAATTCCTCTTGTTGTCAAGGAACATTCGTTACCTTCTGTTTGAGCGCAAGCATCTTGAGGCTCTTGCTCTTGTGATTTGGCCAAACTCGATGAGACGAGGAGGAGGCCAAGAACTAGCGGAATTTTTGGAAACGAGTCCTTGTCCATCTCCAACTCTGAACGATAGAGCTAAACGGGTAAGTGAATGGCGCTGAGGTTGGCGGCGCCTTACCTCCGGTGTGAGTAGCTTCTCTCGTCCTGAAAAATAAGATGACCAACCGTTTAAAAGCAATTCGACGGTGAATGTGTAAAGGTATATCCATATTTTGCTCCTTCAAAAAACATATCTAGTATATTTAATGGCGGACTTTGACCGAGATGCAATAGAATCTGGATTTTTTGGGTAAATCTGTGCTCAAAACCTTTCGCAAATTGGAGATAAATGTATAATTGCCGAGGTTGTGATGGGCACTTCCGGTCGTATAGAATGTTTTTCCTTTCCTTCTTCGCAAAGATCCTTGTTGCTAAACAATGTATTATCAAGACTATGTTCAGCAAAACAACAGAAGTGCATGGTAGAATAACACGTGGAGATAAAAGGATGGAAGATAAATTATTGTTTTTCCTTCGTAACAGTATAGCGTGGACCCAGCAGTGTTCTACCATTCTTAAATAGTATTTGGGCCGTAATTTGTGTCTTAAAATTGAGTCAGTGTAATGGTGTTTCATCTTAATTAAACAAAAAAAGAGTTCAGGTGGTTTATGGAGACGCGAAATTTTCCAGAATGGAAATGATTTCCAAAAAAAAAAAAAAAAAAAAAAAAAAAAAAAAAAAAAAAAAAAAAAAATGACACTTCATTTTTTGAGCAATTTTACTCAAGGAGAAATGAACGTTCAAATTCGAAAATCAAAGATTCTTGCAGGAAATTGATCAAATTAATTTATTTAAAGTAAACACACCCTGGTAAAAATAAGCAGTAGAACAGAGTGTCGGAATGCAATCGAAGTATAGTTTTTTCTACTGATCTTAACTGACGCCGATTAAATCTTCTGCTGACGTCAGTGGAGAATGTGTTTTTTTAACTGGCGTTTCGACTCTATTCTACTGGTCATTTTTATCAGAGCTGCAGAAACTTAAAAGTACGTTTATTGGACTTGCGAGTCAAAAAACCATATAAGTTGGAATTTTTTTCCACAATGCGTGGCATGGAAATTAGTTCCAGCCGGGATTTGCGACTCATTAGAGGATATTAATGATGATGGACCGCAGAGCGTCAATTGGTTCGCGGTGTTGCGCAGAAATTACTGGAAAGATTTGCGTGACCACAGACGCTTTAATCACGTCACGCTGACTTTCGACCTATGTTGCTCGTTTCTTCCAAATAATGGGAATTTTCAACAGAGTCCGAAAATTAACGCATGTGCGGATACAAAGCATATTCGTACGTCCATGTGTGGAACTGTGGAAGTAGGGGGACTGGGGGTATCTAGTTCCTCAAAAGTCTACTTGGCTCCTCCAATGAAACGGGAGCAAGATTTTGCCACATTAAGTAAGAACGTAAACAATTTTTCATCTTTGAAAAAGTAATTTGATCAACACTTCGGCGAGAGCAGATTAAAATTGCTCCTGGGACTACTCTTTTTTTTCAAAATTTTCCCAGGAGGGCTCCATGGACCTCTCTTTGGAACTATATAAATCCCCCGAACCCTCCATTGGGGCTGGAGGAGTCCCGAAAAAACCCCTATCGGTGTGTTTTTCAGAACCCTCTAGAACCTCCTTGATGAGGTGCCATTCGTGCCCGGTTGTGCCCTGATTTTAAGTGCAAAAATAAAACACAAATTCATCTGATTGGAAGAGAGGGTGGTTGTATAACATCGACAGAGATGGTGGAAATTTTTATCTCTGATGACAGCTTTGACGGATGACATTACTTACGCGCGTTTCGCAAAGTCCTGATTAAAATGGCTCTTAGCAAAACTTTGCTATCAGACCTCATTTTCCCTGTTATGTCACGATACAGAACCTTCAGATTACGCCAGGAATTTGGCACCTGAGGTTGTAACACTGTTGTACAGAAGAACAGTTGCCAGCTCTGAAAATATGCGTTTATATTCTTGATTTTGAGTAATGTCTCTACATTTTTGCCTTCATCTGTTGACCATACCTCTCTTAATTAACCGACGAAAATATACAATAAAACTTTCAAAACCCACTTTAAACCTACCATTATCAAATTGAAAATGTTTCCCTATAATTTTTTTCAATTTTCGAGCAGAGGCCCAAGTCCAAAATTTCAAATTCGCCTTAAATGGAACTGAAACTTTTTTCACAAAAAAAATCTCTCCGAACTTTTAAATACATGTTGACTAATCCTTTGAATACTTCAGATAATGTTCAGTCATCCTGCTTGACAAAAAAATCGGGTTTTACCCCTAATTTTGCGTAAAATTTGGTCATGTAGACTGACCTACCTATTCTACCCTTGGCATGTAGCCAAGATTTTATTTCGAGTGGGAGGGG